ATTCTTCAGTGCTGATATTTGGAGTAATTTCCGTTGTTTCTGCAATTGTGCGTCCGGAAAATTGCACATCAGCCGTTTTCTCTATAGGTTTTTCAGGAATTTGGAGAACATCTTCTTTCTCAGCTAAAACTTCAGCAAACGTAGTCGCGCTGATAATTTCATCGACAGATATTTTGGCTTTATCAGTTTTGGCAGGTTTATCTTTAAATTCTCTTTCCGTTTCTGTTGCAATAGTTTCGCTTTGAACAATACTCTCAAACGGTAAATGTTCTTCTTGTGCCGCTGCAATTATTGGTGCCTTTATTTGAAGATCTCCTGGATAAGCAGCTGGTGTGATTTCGGTTTGTTCGGCAATCTTATGAGCATTATAGCTAAATGTGGCTTTCTCACCTGGAATATCTAATTTCTTTAAATATTCACGCTCTTTATCAGATGCAATTGTTTCAATTACATTTATACTAGTTTCTTCTTCAAACGATATATCAACTTTCTTTTTATCTGGTTTTACAAAGTCTACCATCGGCTGTTCAGAGTAACCGACTGATGTTTCAGATGTTACAACGCTACGATGAGTGATATGTTCGGTTGTAGCTGTAACAGACGTCGTTTCTTCACGTTTAAAATCGCTAACATTGTCAGCCGTAGTTACTTCAGCAGCCTGTGCTACCGAATGAGTGGATATATCAAAAATAGCGGATTTAGTTTCTGGTTTTTCCGTTTCTCCAAGAATACTTTCTTTGTCCTCTGTCGTTACAGCTGAAACGACGAGACCTTCATCTGTTACAAATTCGAGATCAGCTATTCTTTCTGGTGCTGGCACATGCTCAAATGGCTTTTCAGTTTCTCTTGTTTGTACTTCTTCAGCAATAGCTGTTTCAAATGGTAATAACGTTGTTTTGGGATGCACTTCTAGATTAGATTCGGAAGATAAATCGCTTGGAGCGACGTTGCTGAGAATTTCAAATTGAGACGCTATTCCTTGTGTTACTATGTCGACTGTAGCTTCAGCGCTTTTTGGTTTTAGCTTTTCTCCAAACACATCTTCTTTATCCTCGGGATGCGTAAACGTAATTGTGAGACTTTCTCCTTCTTGGAAGGTAACATCAACCTTCTTTGTATCTGGTTTTACATCTTCCGCTAAAAGAGATTCTTTTTCGGATATCGACACTTCTACTTGTTGCACAACGTCCAACCCGCTCTGCAGTTGAATAGCGCTCTCTTGTGTCGGTTTTTCTTCTTTTAATACGTCTATATTGTTTGCAAGAATCGTCTCTTGTGTTTGGGCGATCTCATGGCCTTCGGTTATGTCTAGCACTACTTTTCGTCCGTCTGGTAGCTTTTCTACTGACAATTCTTCTTCCTTCAATACAGTTGTAACTTCAGTGACAGTTAATTTTTCAGGTCGAGAGCATACTTCAAAAGTAGCACTCTGTTTAGTAGGACGCGTATCCTCCTCTCTGATTTGTTCTGCTTCGCCAACATTTGTTTCTGTTACTATCAATACTTCCAAAGCTTCTTGCTGTAATGTTGCTTTGCTTGATATCGGTAAATCACTGCTTATCTTTCCAGCAGTTTGTTCCACCAAAATTTCTGCTTTCGATGCAATAGTGTGACCAGTTATGGATGATTCAACTGTATGAGTCTGCGGCCCAGCGTCTGGCGTATAGATGTTCTCAAGATCGTGCGGAATTATTTCAAGAACACTGGCGCCAGGTTTTGGCTCCGTAAGCTCGACATTCACTACTTTTCCCTCAGGTTTTACATCTTCTCTATAAACCTCTTCTTTTTCCGCAGTTTCTTGCATAGCAACGCTGATAGTTTCTATAGGAATGTGAGATGGATATGCTTGTCCACTCACAGGTTTGTCTTCCACCAAGTATTCCTTGGTTGGCGATTCTGTTCGTATCTGTTCACATACTGGAACCACTTGGGTCGTATATTCAGTACTTGCAAACGCGCCTTTAATATCTGTTTTAATATATTCAGTTTCCTTTTCGCCCGTCACAATCATTGTTGTGTGTAAGCTCTCAATCTGATCTATTGAGACTACTGCGGTTTTAATATCGGGACTTTCGTCCTTTTTGACTGGAGCTACATCTTCCGCCGCGACAGTTTCACCAATAATTGTTTCTTGCAGACCAATCGCTTCAACTTTAGCCGTGGCCGTTGATAAAGCTTCTTTTGTAACTTCACCTAAATTACTTTCCGGTTGAGTTTCTTGGACCTCAAGCGAGATCATCGGATGAGTGGGCACTGTTTTACCGCGATGTGATTCAGGCATTTCAAAGATTTTCAGTTCGCTTTCTTTTTCTATGGAAGTGGTTTGTGATATTTCGATACCTCTAACGGCATCATATACCGTCTCCACTGTATGAGTTTCTGGCTTAGCCTCTTCTTCTATAATGGCTTCTCGATCGTGAGTGAGCATTTCAAGCACAGTTTTTGCTTCTGTTAATTGAATAGACACAGTACCACTCTCTGAAACATATTTAAGTGTATCCTTCAGATCTGCGGGATAATCCGCTGTTTGAACTTGAGATATCAAGACATATTCTTCCGGTCTAATCGATGTCTCGGCCAACACTCCGGAAGGTTTTTGATCGGGATTATAAATTCCTTCAGATTCTTGAACGATCGTATCTGTTACAGAACCAATTTCCAACGAAGATATCGACGTAGTGGCTAATTTAGTATCAGGCTTCTCTTCGGGATGATAGTCTCGTTCCTTTTCAGAAGTCATTGTCTCTACCGTCACAGCTGATATAATTTCGACGACGTTAAGATCCGCCGTAACTTGTTTACTTTCTTCGATTGTTAAATTATACTCCTGTTGTTGAGTGTCAATAGTTGATACGGTAACTCCTTCCAAAACAGTGACATTTGGTGTGGCTTCGTAAGAATCTATTTTACGGTCAGGAACATATTCACCTTCACGCTCTTGTACGAGATCTTGACGAATAACAGCTGTTTCGTTTCCATAAGAAACTCCTACTTGAGCTGTTTGACTCGGTGGTAATTTACCTGGAATATATGCACCTTCCTTTTCGGGTACATTCATCTCTTCAGTGACGCGTTGCTTCTGCGAGATTACTGTTTGAGTGGCGACTTCGGTAGGCACTATTAACTCCGGATAATATTTTCCCGGTTTATCCTCAGGACGAACTTCTTCCACCATTAGCGGTTCTATCGCACTGATATTAATTCGTGGTTTTGTAGGATTTGTTTTTATGGACTCCAACTTGTCTTCGACCAATCCTTCTTGTACTTCGTAAACCGAAAGTCCTACTTGCGGCAAAATAGTGTCTTCCGCTTTAACAGCTAAGGGCGTTATAAAATCGTCGGTAGGTATTTCATTCTGATTAATTATAGTTTCGCTAATGGTTGTAGCTTCCTGTACAGTGACCTGCACATCTGCCTTTCGACTTATTTCTGTTTTGGTTACGGTTAAATTTGATAAATCATCATCTTGTGTCATTGTTTCACTAATAACAAGACTTTCTTTTGTTATTACAGAAGGCGTAGCTTCGTAAGATGCAGCTTTAAAAGTGTCTGAAAATTCATCGGTAGATACATGCGCGGTAGTTTCTGTAATAGAATATGGTTCTATCGGTGAAATTGATATTGATGCTTTTTGTTCAACAAACTTAACGCTCATCATCTCGTCAATTTCTTTCTCGTGTATCGACGTTGTCTGTCCCGTTAACGCGACAACAGTATCCAACGCGTATTTCGCTTTCTCCAATTCAGGTTTGCCGGGTGCTTGCTCGATTGTGCGATCTAATGGTATCACCTGATTAAGTTGACTAGAAACGTTCAAAACCATAGATGGCACTATTTCATCTTTTACTACTTCTAGATCTTCTGTCTCTTCTAGTGGAATCTCATCTCTACCAATATTCGATCTTTTCGGTACCAATCTCTTTCTAACTTTTTCTATTGTCTCTTCTTCCTCCTCTACCTCTACCTCTTTTTCTACATCCTGCTTTTGCTTACGAATCAATCTGCCCCTCGAATCCCGTTCGAGTTCAATAATCTCTTCTTCGATTTCTTCCGCTTCTTTTTTCTTTTCCTTTTCAATTTCTTCGATTTCTTCAATTTTTACGATCTGACCCCCCTCTTCCCTATCTTGTGTTGTTTCTTCAATTTGATCCTTTGGTTTTCTATCTTTGCGTTTGCGCAGTGTTGTGTGTGCCTGCCGTGTATCCTCGTATTCTGTGGAAAGTATGTGAGAATATTGTGTCAGACGTTGAGTGTTCGTGATGTATTTATTTTTAATTGTTCTTTCTTTCTCTCATTCACATTTACTCACTCACTCACTCATTTACTTGCATTTCATGTCTCGCATCATGCTATAATTAAAGAGCGTGTGTCTGACTACAATAAACGTGCTGCGCAAACAAATAAGTGGTAACTGTTTGGTGATAACTGAGTTTTCAGAGTCAAAAGTGTGTAAAATGTTGATACAGTTTAGTAGAATGTAGTATCTTATTCATGCGTGCTGTACTCTTGTGTTATACTATTTTTATTTTAAGATATCGATATATATATATATATATATATATATATATATATAATATATATATATATATATATACATATAGAACTTATTTTTAAGGCATAATTGGCGTTGCGCAAATAAGCATCAAATTGCAAAGATACCTACGAAGCTATGAAAAGTAGTTTACCTATAGAACAATTAAAATATTGTTGAAGGAAAATATTCTATAAAATTGAGGAAATATGGGATTTGTCGCGCGTGGAAAGCATAGCGGCGTAAGCGAAAATCCGCACATCTATTTTTTGATCAAGTAAAGCTTTATGCATCTGAAAGCATAAAACAACGTTCATCAAAATAATCGCAAATACTATATTCTATATAACCATAAATTTTCTGCTTTCTTCTATGTTCTTATTTTATAGATAAAAAGTAATGCAAAAATATAAATCATATTATATTAAATAAAAATTTAATCTCAGATTCTACGAAACTTTCTAGCAATCTTAATTTAAGCGTTTTGCTTATGTGATGTGAAATTAAAAGCAAAACACTATAAAATAATTATAGAAGCACTACTTATGACGAGTATTAATTAATCAAGATAAAAGATCATGTGAATAGATTCCATGCATCGAAACTCGTTGTTCCGAACCTTTAATTTCTTGAATATCTTGTGTAGTTTTCCTTTCGTCTCTTCTCTCTGTAATAAAAAAATTCTTACTCTCTTAAAAAAATTAGAATTAAATAACAAAAATCTAACACACGTAAAGTAAAATGACACGTAAAAATATAATGTTTTAATTCTGCATGCACTTATAAAAAACTTTTATGAGTTTTTGTTCTAGAAAAAAAAAGTTTTTCATAATCTGCAATTTTGATCTTACCCATAAAATGAACTTCTGTTTTACGAACATAATCAACTCTTTCCGTAGCATGTTGTTCAGTTTCAACCTGTTATAAAGTGTATTTTATTAAGAAAAAACATATTAGAAAGATATAATGAATAGTTGTTCTAAATTTTAATGATTACAGATTTGTACATCTTATCCCTACCTCGGAAATTTCTGTAACTTCCCAAGCACGTGGCCTGAAGTCTTCCGGAGCAAAGTGCGTGATGACTTCTTCTACGGTAGCATGTTGCAATTCGACCATTCTCATAAAGGCACGAAAACCGACAGTTGCTGCGACAAAACTCTCATCAGTCGTCGTTTCTTCGGTAAGCACTTGTGTGATTAAAGCACCGTAACCCTTTCTTTCTACTAATTGAACCAAAGCGTTTTGAGCATCAGGTGTTTTCAAAGCGGGAAAAATCTCAGTTCTGTAAAGGCACTCGTTGATTTCGTTCACAGAAACGCCTTGTCTAACCAAGTAACCAACTGTCGCGAGTTCTCGAAGAGGTGATTCACCTGGACCAAACTCTTTCACATCAAGTAACTCCATGATTTCATCTACTTCTCGAGCTATATTCTCCTTCTGTCGTTCTACAATCTCCATAACAATAATATCTTCTTTAATCTTTTCTGCTTTTACTTTCTTCGCTTTTTTCTTCGTTTCTGTGCGTTTTGTTTCTTGCGTTCTAGTTTCGACATGAGTTTCGGAGATCGAGACTTCCTGTAAAGGTTCCGAAATGACTTGTGCGCGATCAAGCTTTGTTTCAATGGTAAAGTCCGGAGCGACATCTTCGCTTCGGATTTCTGACACAACAACACTTTCTCGCTCTTCAACAATTTGCTTGGCTCGTTCTTCAACTTGTGGTACAATTTCTTGAGTTTTCTGATCATCAATTTTTTTCAAAGATGCTGTTGCCTCGGTTATAAGTGGTTCTTGAATTGGTACTATTTTTCGTGCTCTAGAAATCTAGAATATACAGAGAAAAATATATTAGTTATATATGAAATTTTACAAGAAATAGTTCAGAAAACTTTTAAAGTGCATGCACCTCCTCGGGCTTTTCTTCTATGATTTCGGTGGTTTCCAATACTTGAGTTTCTTCAATACGGACAATTTTTCTGTACAAATACAAAAAGCAAATATTACAATTTGTACATAAAACAATTGTGGAATTAAATGCGGAATGTGTAGAAAGTAACACAAAGAATTACTAACTTTTCTTCTGGCTGTTCCTTTGATACGGGCTTTTCTTCATGAATTTTGTCTTTTTCAATTGTGATACGTTCAGCCTTTATTTTCTCCTTAACTTCTTTTGCTTTCTTTAATTCGGGTTTCTTTTTCTTATGTGGTTTCTCTTCTTTTTTCAACTTTATTTCTACTTTTTCCTCTTCGATTACCTTCTCTTCCGGTGCTAGTCCAAAGTCACTTACACTTTCAACACGCAGTTTGGCTTTTGTTGTTATCATGCCAATTTCACTGGTAGCTTTGCAGATGTATGTAGCTTCGTCTTCTTTGGTAGGTCGTTTTATCGTTAAAGTAGTTCTGTTTTCGTTTTCAAATATACGCACTTTCACATTCTCGGTGTTCATTATGATCTTATCATTTTTATACCAAATAATATCTATAGAATAAATTATACTATTAGTTAAAAATTTAACAATTGAATTTTATTACTATTTAGAACATATAGATATAATTACCTGGTTTGGGATTACCAGAGTAGACACATTCAAATACTGCAGTATCTCCTTCTCGCGTGTAAACATCTGTTGTTTCTTGGACAATTCGGGGTACAGCTTGCGTGGCTGAAATTATTACTATTGTATAGTCGTTCATTAAATCCTGTCATTAGAAAACAACAGCAATATTCAAATTTCTTACCTACTTTTGTGCTCAATGGCATATTTTTCGCATAAGCCTCATGTCAGTAGTCTAATTAGACAAAAACACAAACAAATTCATGCACGGTTATTTTTAAACACACAATCCATTTATATCGTTAGTTTCAAGTTAAATTCTACCTGACATCGTGCCTCTTTCGTCTTCAGTGCAATATTCATCATAAAATGTAGATACGTTTTCTGCTAATCCAAAATTTCCTTTACATTGATTCTCAAGTAGCAAAAACTCTTGTAATTCTTCTTGACTATCTACCGTATGCAGTTGTTGGAAAAACTCTAAATCTATTTCTCGTGGCTCTAACGGAAGCATTTGCGGATCCATCAGATAATTTTCGCATCGCCGATCTTTACGAGATTTTAAGACTGGAATTCTAGATTTGGGATATGTGTGATATTTTTTCTTGTAATCATAAGTCGACTTAAGTATAAATTCGTCTGAAATAGTTTTATACATCTTGGTGTCAATCTTATTCTGATTGCTTGACATTTCATTTTTTTCCTCGATTGGTGACAAAGAAAACAGAGTTTTTTGGCTATCCACAGGCGTAATTTTGTTATTACTTGAATACAAGTATTTTTGAATTTTTTTCTCATATCTTGAAGGCGGAAAATCACCAAAATCGAGAACAAATTTTTTTTTTTTATGTTCTGATGATATGTTATGGTAATATGTTTTCACGTGTTCTTCATCTTGTTCTTTGTCTTGTAACCGTACTAATAAATCAGATGTCGTTTGTTCTTTATGAAAAGGTTCGATTTGCCAAGAGTATTGTATCGCAGTAATATTTTCTTTAGTACCTATGTATATTGAATCCGAATGTCTTCTCGTTAAAAAATCCATATTGTATGCTTTACTTTTGTCTGAAGCTAATTTGATATCATCATCAATGTTCATTAAAGTTTTCGTTGATGAAAATTCACTAATTACAGTCGAACTATCCCTTTGAGAACTTTCGTCTTTTAATACACGATCATCCAAACTGTCGATCGAAAAGCTACACTCTGCGTCACTCGGCATGCAACCGGCCATGTCCAAATTCTTACCTCTTAAGGCCTCTTGCATTTCTTCCATATGTGTGACCCATTCTGGCTTACGATATTCTTTTGTTCCAAGTATACCTAATGACACAGAACGACAATAAGAAATATATAACAAACGTACCGCGAATCTTTTGAGTTTCTTCAGTATTTGAATAAATGAAAAGATTAGAGCAATACTAAAGAGATTCGTAGAAATGTAGATACGCGAAATGTAGATAAACAATAGAGAAAATAGTGTGCGTTGAGGATGTTGCAAGTGTTTGGTTGGTGTGGATCAGGAATATATTTTTTTAGGGATACTCAGGATTTTACCAGCGGATTTTACCAGCGAGTGCTAGAGGATTTCGATGACACTTTTTCGATCGAAGAGCATAGCTGAAAAGAATTTTACTAGGTATATTAGAAAAGTTTTTACAAATTGTATTTTGAGAATGATATTACCTTCTACTGATAAATATGTCATAGTAGTCGATACACCAAGTGGATTGTGAGCTTCAAATACAATTTCACCGGTATCGTCAGGAAAAGTTTCAGCAATTGTTAATACCGACGTACCATCTTCAAATTCCTCAATTAAGAATTCTTGTGAAGGTACAATTTCTGTGCCTTGTTTGTACCATTTCACTTTCGGTTTCGGTTTACCTTTCACTTTTACTTCCAATCTATGCAAGAAGAAATGAGTTATGCGTGTTGAAATATATTTGCGTGTAACATGATTATTAGTTGCATATTAAATATGTTTTATACATACCTAGTTAATTCCCCATCTTTAATAGGAACTAACTGAGGAAGCTTTTTAACTATCTCTGGTGCTGATTCTTCTACATCAGTATCGATTTCCTAGCAATAGAAATAAATTTTAATATACTTGATGTTGTATGAAATATAAATATGATATATCTTGAATAGTTCTATACGTACTTTTGGAGATAAAAGATCTTCTTCTGATCCTGTAGTAAGAGATGTTGCAACTATCGAAGATGCAATTTCTGAGTCAGGCACATACTCGTAAGCTAAAAATAAGTCCGATTCGTAATTAATTACAAGATAGACAATCTTAATAAAGTACAATTATTATTTTTTTCGACCGATAGAATTTATACCTTCCACAACAAGTGATGACATGCAGACGGCTTCGCCAACGGGATTTATAGCGCGACATGTATATTCGCCAGCGTCTTCAGGGAATACTTCGGTAATAGCTAGACTGCAGACACCTTCCATGTCTTGGACAATTGTAATTTCTTTACCTTCTTTAATTGGTTTGTCATTGTGATACCATTCTACTCTGGGTGTCGGTTTTCCTTCAACGACGCAAGTTAAATTAACACTCTCACCGTCCATAACTCTTACGGGCGATAGCCTCTTAACGAATGTTGGTGAAACCAATTCAACTGCTTCTTCCCATGTTGTATCTATGATGTTAACAACAGCTGTACAGGTGACAGAGCCACCAACATTTTCAGCACGACAAGTGTAGCTACCGGCAAGCTCCGGTGTAACTTCCTTTACCATTAAAATTGATCGATTCTCTTGAGTCACAATCCTTACTTGTGGTGTTGACTATAACAAAGATTGTATTACACTCATTAATTTTACGATATATTTTTATTATATTAATAAACATAATAACTCGAGTTACCTCAAGAAGTTTGCTTTCGTGGAACCATTGGAAAGATGCTGCCGGATAAGATTCTACTTTTGTTTCCATGATAACAACTTCTCCTTCTGCTACAAGTTGGGGCTGAATTGGTTCTACAAATCTAGGTGCTTTCACTTCGCTAGTATCTTTACGCTCTTTAACAGTTATAGAACTCGAACTTCTCGCTTCACCGACTTCATTTTGGACTCTAATTTCATACTTGCCGCTGTCCTTCTTTGTAACATCAGATACAATCAGTTCGGTTGTATTCTCGTAGATTTTTATCTCGTTTTTGTTGGTTGGTATAATTTCAATACCATTGCGGAACCACTTGACTTCTGGTTTCGGTATACCTTCGAAGTCAGCCAAAAGTTTCAGAGGCTTTCCGCGTTCGGCTATGAGAGCAGGTAAAGGTCGTGTAATTCGTGGTGCTCTAAGAACAGCTGGTTTGCTTACTTTGACAATGTTACTGATCACTAAATTGGCTCTACATTCAGCGCGACCGTATTTATTTACAGCACGAACACGATAAATAGTTTCATCTTCTGATATTGGTTCTATAATTTTAAGCGTAGCTTCTCCGGTTGTCGGATTGAAGGTTATTTCAGTTCTTTCGTTTGGCTTTACTTCTTTTTCACCCTTATACCACTTTACTTCTGGTACTGGTGTACCAGTTACAACACATTCTAACAGGGCAGGTGTGTGCTCTTCAACCATTATAGGTTTAATCGGGGTTGCAAAATGCGGTGCTACACCTTCCTCTTCTTTTTCTGAAAAGCAGAATGTTATGTAATTGTATGTAAGTATTAAGAAATTTAAAAAAATATAATCACACTGCATGCTGTGCATATTTTTACGTTGCACTCTTCCTATTTTTTGTAAAAACTATAAATTGATTTATAGATAGATAGATTGATTTATATTAGAAGACATCTTATTTTTTTATAATAAAATCATGCGCTTTAATTGCAAACAAACACAATTATCAAATTCAAAAATTATATATAAACTTAATCTAACGATATTTTTTTAACAAGAAATTAATAGAAAAACTTAAAACTGTCAAAAATGAAATTTCATAATCAATCCAAATCATATAATTGTGAAATAAATTTCACACTCAATAATATTACTACCATATATCACAAGATTGACAGTGGATGTTGCCACTCCAGCCGGATTAGACGCTCTGCAAGAGTACATTGCCGCATCTTCCTCTTTTACTTTTGTAATTTCTAAAGTTGCTGTTGTTTCAAATATCGTCATTATATATTTTTCACTTGCATGGAGTTCTTGTTCATTCTTATACCAAGAAATTTCAGGAGTAGGATTTCCTATGACAGTACAAGTAAACTTGGCAGGTTTTTCTAGCTCAGCAATAACGGGCTGCAACTTTTGGATAAATCGTGGAGCAATAGTTTTGTCTTTGTCCATAATTGATATGTCGACTTGAGTACGTTGTCTGCGTTTTCTTTTTCGATCTTCTATTTGCGTGATATCTTTCTTAACTTGCACTTCGACATCTTCAACAATGTCCTCGATTTTTTCAGTTTTTGTGATAACTTCTTGCTTTTCTTCTTCAACAATAGGAACAATTTCTTTAGGTACTTTTTCTATTTTCTTAGGTTTTCTTTTAATCAATTCAATAAGAGTTTCTTCTCTTTCTTCTGATACTTCTGCTTGTTTTTTAATTTGAGGTCCTTCAATAATTTTTTCTTTAAGTTTTTCTTCCGTGATCTTTTCTTCTCTTACTGTTTTTAATGTAACTTCTTCCACTACGTCTTCTTCCTTTATTTTCTTTTTAGATATTGGTTTTAATGTAATTTTTTCTTTTTCAACTATCTCAGTTAATATCTCATCTTTATTTGAGACTGGTATATATTCTTCAGGCTGCTTAACACTTGATTCCTTAACTTGTTCCATGAGCTTTATTTTCACGGTTTCTTTTTCTCCTCTTCTGGTTTGATCTTGTTTCTTTTTTCTCCATGAAACCATACTTGTTTCAACCATTTCAGTTACCTTTTCTCCTTCTTTAGATACTGGAACAATGTCCACTTCTTTTTCGGTTTGATCTTGGATAGTTTCAGTTGTAATTACACTTATTTCTTTTTCTTCAGAAATTTCTGCAACTGATTCTTCTTGATCGATTGGCACTATTGTAACTTCTTCCTTGAAGTCGACAACCTTTTTTGTTCGTTTACCACGTCGCCAAGGAACTGCTGTTTCTTTCGGTTTATCTTCGACAGGTTCTACCGGTTTCAACACAATTTCACCTTTTGTCTCTTCTTCTTTAGAAACCTTCCTAACCGGTTTCAGAATTACTTCCTCTGGTTTTGGTTCTTCTGGCTTCTCAAGTCTTTTAACAGGTTTCAGTCGAACTTCCTCAGGTTTTTCTTCTGGTTTTTTCCTTTCCACCGGTTTTAAGGTAATTTCTTCTTTTGTCTCTTCCTCTTTAGGAAGCTTTTTAAACGGTTTCAAAATTACTTCCTCCGGTTTTGGTTCTTCTGGCTTCTCAAGTCTTTTAACAGGTTTCAGTCGAACTTCTTCAGGTTTTTCTTCTGGTTTTTTCCTTTCCACCGGTTTTAAGGTAATTTCTTCTTTTGTTTCTTCCTCTTTAGGAAGCTTTTTAACCGGTTTCAGAATTACTTCCTCCGGTTTTGGTTCTTCTGGCTTCTCAATTCTTTTGACTGGTTTCAGTCGAACTTCCTCAGGTTTTTCTTCTGGTTTCTTCTTTTCCACCGGTTTTAAGGTGACTTCATCTGGTGTCTCTTCCTCTTTAGGAAGCCTCTTAACAGGTTTCAGAATTACTTCCTCCGGTTTTGGTTCTTCTGGCTTCTCAATTTTTCTGATAGGTTTAAGTCGAACTTCCTCAGGTTTTTCTTCTGGTTTTTTCTTTTCCACCGGTTTTAAGGTAATTTCTTCTTTTGTCTCTTCTTCTTTAGAAAGCCTCTTAACCGGTTTTAGAATTACTTCCTCCGGTTTTGGTTCTTCTGGCTTCTCAATTCTTTTGATTGGTTTCAGTCGAACTTCCTCAGGTTTTTCTTCTAGTTTTTTCTTTTCCACTGGTTTTAAGGTGACTTCTTCCTTTGTCTCTTTCTCTTTAGGAAGCCTCTTACCCGGTTTCAGAATTACTTCCTCCGGTTTTGGTTCTTCTGGCTTCTCAATTCTTTTGAATGGTTTCAGTCGAATTTCTTCAGGTTTTTCTTCTGGTTTTTTCTTTTCCACCGGTTTTAAAGTAATTTCTTCTTTTGTCTCTTCTTCTTTAGGAAGCCTTTTAACCGGTTTCAGAATTACTTCCTCCGGTTTTGGTTCTTCTGGCTTCTTAATTCTTCTGACTGGTTTCAGTCGAACTTCCTCAGGTTTTTCTTCTGGTTTCTTCTTTTCCACCGGTTTTAAGGTGACTTTTTCTTGTGTCTCTTCCTCTTTAGGAAGCCTCTTAACCGGTTTCAGAAGTACTTCCTCCGGTTTTGGTTCTTCTGGCTTCTCAATTCTTCTGACAGGTTTAAGTCGAACTTCTTCAGGTTTTTCTTCTGGTTTTTTCCTTTCCACCGGTTTTAAGGTAATTTCTTCTTTTGTCTCTTCCTCTTTAGGAAGCTTTTTAAACGGTTTCAGAATTACTTCCTCCGGTTTTGGTTCTTCTGGCTTCTCAATTCTTCTGACTGGTTTCAGTCGAACTTCCTCAGGTTTTTCTTCTGGTT